AAAAAAAAGAAGATGCGCCTCGTAATGTTATTCAAAAGTTCGAAAATTTAGTAATGGACTTTTTCAAACATAATTTAAATATTAATATGCAATACTCAGCTATTAAAGAATTAAAAGAGAGTATAACTATTAATGAAGTATTATGCCATGTGGATTTCAGTGAAAACTATTTGTTGAAAATATAATGAAGAAATCCAAAGTTTTCACTTCGGCGGTAGTCGTCAACAAATTTCACTTCACACCGGAGTATTATATTATTTAAACAGTCAAACTAAAGAAAAAACCTGTAAGTCATTCTGGACCACGTTAAAAAATATCAGACACGATGCTTCCGCTATATGGGCACACTTGGACCCAGTTTTGGACATGGTTCAAGATTTAGTGCCACATCTTACAACAATTCATTTCTTATCGGACTCTCCCTCGAGTCAATACCGCAACAGATTCATTTTTACATGATGTCGAATTTCAAACCTAAAGCTAATAACATGGAATTACCAAGAAGCAGGGCATAGCAAAGGGGGCCCCAGATGGCATTGGTGCTGTTGTAAAAAGAACACCTGACAACTACGTCAGACTCGGTGGCGATGTAGGCTCATTTGAAGACTTTGAGCAAGTTGTTCAGCAAGACATTGCAAATGTTAAGCTCATTGTCATCGCAGAGGAAGATATAACGGACAAAGAATTTCCCAAAAACATTCCTGCATTTAAAGGGACAATCAAAGTCCACCAAACTCTTTGGTCTTCATCTTTGGCCTTCGACATTACTTTTAGAAGCCTTAGTTGTTTTGATTATCGAGATAGTTACATACCATGTAAACATAGAAAACATAAACAAACATAAAACAAAACCGGAGTACTAAATATGGGACTTTGTCAAGAAGCAACTGCACAAGAAATGTCTAGTTATTATAACTATAACGTTGTAAATGTGATGAAGTCTTTGACTGATGGAACTAATGGTGGAACATATGATTCTTCTGACCTTAACAGCCCAATCAACATCGATTCGCCAACCATATTTAACACTATCGGAGATTTGAGGCAATTCGATTTATAATCAGAAACATCGACCCCGGAAATAAATATAAACAATAAATCTAAAGTAAAAATTTTATCCAACATTCCAGTAAATTACCACAATTGTAACATTCAAGGATTTAGTTCCATTAAGAAAACATAATTTAAGGAGTTAATTCAACATCCAGTTCTTCAAGATTTCGAGGTTGATATTGAGGAGCTAATAATCAAATCTGATTTCGGTCGTGATCAGAATACATCTATGAGAATTGGACTACGACATCGAAACCAAAGAAAACGTCGAAGTAATTGAATTAAAATATGACTTAGACCCATGGGTGGTCGTTGAATATAAAATGAAGAAGAACTCACAGTATTTCGTTGGCAAAATCATCGATGAGTAGCACACTTGAATATAAAATATTATTTTTAAGGAAAGGACATGGGAAGTCGGTAAAGTTCAATTGGCCAGCAATTTGCGACGATGATATTGTATCTGAATCTCGTATTCTACAGCACTTGGGAGAACCAAAAGAATCTAGAAGAGGTGAATTTACTTTTAAAAAGTTACCAAACCTTAATTTCAAGTAGAATGATTAGACATAACGTAACTTATATGATTACTAGAGAGTAAATTACCTATGTGATTTAAAGGAAAACAAGCGATTTAATTTTTTGATACTATATTTTATTAGATTTTGTATGTGTTTTGTATGTTCCCGTCTACTTTTTTCTTTATAACATTGAACCTATGTTTAATTTGTTGTTACTCTCATTCTCACAAAGATCTTAGGCTCATACTTTGATATTATTTTATAGTATCTTTGTCATACTTTGTTATTGTTTTTTCAATTTTATAATATTTATTAAAAATTCTATTGATTTCATGATTTTCATTTGTTGACTGTAATACCTAGCTCCCTAATTAAACACACCACAGATAAATTACATACTTTTTGTCAATGATAAACATAACATTTACTAAGGATTTACTCCTTTTCATTACCTTCCCAAACTAAATCATTACACTCTCATAACATTTCATTACCCTCCAAAGTTAATCATTACACTCTCAGTATATTTCATTATCTTTCACGCTCTCATTACACTCCATCAATTTTCTTGAAAAGGAAATGGTTTTCACGAACGCCTTTCACAATAACCTGTATCTACAACTTATACGAATAATTTAATACATATTTTTTTCAAAACCGCAAACAAAATAAATATTCCACGAAATTGCCCCGTTTCGGACGAAACGGTGGAATCACTCATTTGGCAATCAAGGTGATTCAATAAAGTTATTGTCATTTGAAGCAGTTTTAAAAGATATTGATATGTTTATTAAGGTATACTATGTTTTCAATATTGGATACCTTGTTTGGGGATAGAATATGGTCGATCTTGACAGGTCGGGTTGTATAACCAGATGAAGGATCAGGTTCTATACGCTTAAAGTAAAAGGTAAAAGGCCCTTTATCCACTGTGTATTTTTTTTTCTAAAAAATCGGTGTGGGTTTAATACTTTGATATGACGCTGATGGCGTATTATCATGACCAACTTTTTTATGAATGCTTGGTGTTAAGTCCGTACATTTGTGTTTAGAAGGACTGAAACGAATACGTATTAGTTAAGAATACATAAATTAATTAACTAACGCTAATTACCAACTAATAAGTAATTAAAAACACAACACAAATTTATATAACGACAAACACAGAAGACGGCAAAAATATTAACGAATCTTAACACAAATTAGTTAAAAATATATCCGAAAATCGCTGAAACACGTGTCACTACCAATCACTCTGACAGCAGAATCCAATTGCGATGCGTCAGATTGCAAAGTTTCTGGGAGATTATTATGACAACTTATCCCGTCAGACGGTGTATATCGAAAATATCTCAAGGTTTTTTTTTTTATAGAAGAGGGGACAGACGAGAATGCGGCTCACCTGATGGTAAGTCTCGACCGCCGCCTGGGGGAATCGCAGGTGCGTTGCCTAGTCACTATGCCGCATCGGTCCGGAAAAATCGCTGGTGGTAGTCGATGCCACAAGGAACTTGTGCGAGGAAGGAAACTTCTTGTAAATCGCATAGTGATGAACCGCCAATCATACAGATGGTATGGATAATACCGCGAGTTTTGGCGCGATGTGTGATGGTGAAATTGTGCGGCTGGAATTAGTTCGAACAGTTTATCAGCGCTATCCCCGTGGTAGATAAGATAAAATAAGCAAAGAGAAGCAACATCTCCTCGCAATGCCAGTGAGTAAAGCCGATCAGAAAGAACTCTGTCATCGACGATTCGACCGCTGAGGATGCGAGTAATTGAAAGGAGCTGGCACTGGGGAGTCCCGGTCCAGAGATGGGAACAGTATTCCATGTAAGGCTGAACCTGTGCCTTGTAAAGTTGCAGATGGTGTGCCGGCACGAAATACTGTCCCGCTCTGCTGAGTACGCCAAGTTTTTTAGTGGCTAATTTGGCCTGCTCTACCAAGTGAGCATGCAAATGCACGTCATTCGATATGTCGACGCCGAGGATTTCGATACTGGCTAGGGACTAAGGAAATAAGGGGAGTGCCCCGAAACTGAGAAGATACGATAAAGGTGTTTTTTTAGCGGTAAACGCGCAAACTTGTGTTTTTAGCGATTGAATTCGACTAGATTTAGTCGTCCCCAATCCGAGACTATGTTCAACGAAGTCTCAACTTCAGATAAAAGTTTGTTCCGGTACTCGGTGACGTTTTCTCGAGAAGTATTCGCTCGGCCAGAGTATAAAGCATCACCAGTGCTATCATCCGCATAGCAATAAATATTACCGGCTTGCAACATATAATTGATTTGTGGAAGAAACAGTGTTGGTGATAGGACGCAGCCTTGTGGATCACTAGCGTTAATAGGCTTGTAATCGGAGCATGCACTGTCTACTACAACCTTAATGCTCTGATCTGCATGGAAACTGGTGATCCTATTGCACAATTTCTCGGGAAGGGAGCTTCGAAAGAAGCGCTTTGTGCCAAACCCGATCGATTATCTTCGCTATGATCAAACCCCTTGGACTTTACCGCCTCCGTCTGTCAAGTGTCTGTAAGCTAGAAGATCATCAGCTGATCCACTCCGTCGGAAACCGTACTGGCGGTCACTAATCAGCTGGTGATACTCAAGGTACGTCATGAGCCGACAGTTTATATTTTGAATAACAAGGACATGATAGCGATGGGCCTGTAATTGCAGTTGCTTTTTTAGGGATCAGGTTCACCAAAGCTTTCCTCCTCCCTGTGCAGAGATGGCAGAGATATCTGACAGAAGTTAGTATGGAGCTTTTCTACGATTGTATACCGGGGTAGTTAGAAAACTTCAATTAAGTGATTTAGACTTCGTTTTGTTTTTTGCAGGCGCGATAATCGTGAATGTTTTTTTTCCAAGCGCAACGACTCCATAAAAGATTCGTTTAAAGATAGGTGATTGTACGATTAGCCTGATTGATCTCTTAAATATTTTATACTTTACTAAGATCACGCAGCAAACTTTTTGCGAAATGCTTAATATATTTGGTGTTTCTATAGTCTAAAGAAAAATATGGAAAATTATCCTGCCCCGCGCGGTTGAGAAACGGGGTTGTTTTTACGGTTACCTTTATTTTTTCAGTCATTAATCATCCTGAAATAACATCATATTTTTTATATGTTGGGTATTCGAGAATTGCAGTAAATACTTCGTGCATCGTGGATTAAATCTCTTTCGTAATTTATTTAATATTTTACTTAAAAACCAAATACTTACTGTCATTATTCCAAAGAGTATGTTTAAAAAAAACATGACGTTTGCTTTCAATTCTTGGTAGATTTTAATGCAAATAGAGTATTTTGTATTGTGAAATCTTATTGTTCTAAATTGTTTTAATATAATGATATTTGCACCAGAATTGAAGACGCATGCTCAAAAAGTATGTTCTTTGTATAAAACAGGATTGAGGATGATAGAATCTTATTACGTTGCAAGGTACGGAAATGATAAAACTGTTGAAAGCTTTTACGCATTTCTTTTTCCATTTTCCATATATTATCCATCCATCCATTATAGCCTATGATAGTCCACTGCTGAACATAAGCCTAACCCATACTAGCAGTTTGGCAGACAGGTTGGTAACCGCAGTTTTTTTTTTCTTATTTTAATTTGATATCAGGAAGATGCTATTGCCCATCTTTTGTTTCAGTTTCCTCACTGTCACCTCCTATGACACCCCCGGGACGATATGGGGTAGTAGATATTCTTACACCGCCACTACACAGTAACATATATGTATTATAGTAATAGTCTTGCTATAGTATCTATTTATTACTCTCATCTTCTCGAATCGTCAGCGGTGGGAATCACTCAGAGGCCAATGAGAAATGCTCACACATGAACTATACTTAGTATGTTCCATAATTATGATTATGACTTGTAACATAAAATAAGAAGTTAATATAAAAATACCATTTAAAAAAGGAGAGCTCTTATTATAGATATAGAGAGATTTAAACACTGATTGATACATTTACTAAACAACCAAGACGAAAAACGACAAAGTCAAAGATAATCAGACTTATTTGAGGTGAGATTAAGAGTGTGATCGGAGTGTTTTTATGTTCTTCTGCGACGGGTCCTGCAAAACTTAGCTCCAATCGCATGGACAGTTTCTACGACATTGTTATTCTTGTATGTAATCTTTCCAACTTTACATTTATATTCAATACGCCCCTTGTCATTAGGTGATTGATACCTGTTTTCATCTTCGAGATATCTTTCAGTTAGTTTCTAAAATATGTTTTAAGTATATTCACATGTGGCTAAGGTATCACTTTATATGTTTTAGCGTATATTTAAATCGAGGATAGTGGGGGTGGTGAGTGACGAGACTCGAGAGACCCTTTACTGTGGAAGGAGCATTCCACCTTAGTCCTTAGGGTTGAAAACGCATTTTTATTATTAGTTGAGGGTTAGGGGGTTGAATTATGTATGGAACTGCCTCGTTGGTCTAGTGGTTGTAGTAGTGCGACTGCTGATCATGCGGTCCCGGGTTCGAATCCCGGGTCGGGCCAAAAATCATTGAGTTTTTCCGTCAAGACATTATCAGTAACTGCCCGGAGTCAGGAAGTTGGCGGTGTTACACCCCCGTGCCTCGTAAAGCACGTTGGTCCTGCGCCTGATCTCTCTCCGGTCGTGTCGTTTTACCGTCCCATCGGAATATGAAAGCGAGGGAACAGAGAGCGCACCTGCGCTTGCGCATACACTTGGACACTATAATCCTGTCCTGCGCTGATGGCTAGTCTCCGTTGAGGCAGGCCGCCGTGACCGAAATTCGGTCTGGAGGACATTATTATTATTATTATGTATGGGCCACAGCAACCAGTCACAATCAGACTGCATACTTGTCCGATAGCCTAATTTCTGTCAAAAATCCCAGCGATAGTAAGAAAACAAGTAATAGATATAAATAAAACAGAAGGCACTTTATTTGAAACTAAAAATCTATCAAAATCTCTTGTAGTTGTAGTCATGAAATCCAGCTTCAGCACAAGCATTAAATTGATATTTTTAATTTTAAAAAATATTCCCATTACAACAAAATTATTTTCTTAGGCCTGTAATTCGTTATCATCAAGTTCTTTTACGGAAGCGCTTCGATGATAACAAGTGCGTTTGTGATCCTAAAGATCAACGTCGACTTCTATGGCTTGGCGAACATGAAGCATTTATGAAGAAACATCCACTACCATTTGGAAAGTGTAAGTACTGATAGTTTGTTGAACAAAACAATGTATTATGTTAATGCAATCAATATTTAATAATGTATCGCATTCATACTCGTTGCTTATATTAAGTGTATCTTTTAGATTATCACTACAGGTCTCTTTTGTTATTTACATCTCTGAAATTATAATTTCAAAATATTGGTTATAGTCATTGGCGTACTGTTACAGTTACAGCCTATTAAAGTTCACTTCTGAAAATAGGTCTCCCCCATATTATTTTTAGCCTATATTTTTTTATTATTACCTATATTTTGAGGGGATATTTCCCATAATTCCCACGCTCGACAGGCGGGTTGTATGCGGGCGGCAGTATTTTATTTTAGTCGTTATTAGGAATACGCTGCTGCCCATCTGATTTGATTCCCTCTGTCGCATCTAACGACATCCACGGGAAGATACGGGGTAGTGGATATTGTTAATATAATAATTATATTAAAAAACATTTTTGTTGACAAAATTAGTTGTTAATTTCGATATACCATTGTCAAATAATTAATTTTGTTGCATGCTTGCAGTTCCGAAATCTGCTGGCGGTGTATCATTTGAACGCGTAGTTGAACCCCCGGATTGGGTTTTGGATTATTGGCATCCATTAGAAAAAGCGCAATATCCTGAATATTTCAAAACTAGGGAATGTAGAAAATGCGAGTATATACAAAAGTGGCAAGCAGGAATTTTATAATTATGTTGATATTATTTTAACAGTGTTTGCGTATGTGTTTGATTAAAGTAAGTTTGACATAGTAATTGTGTGTTCATTAATTTGTTATAAATTAATGTTTTTCATTTCGCTGGACGGTAATATTTATTTAGACTAAGCATAATCTCGCAACTTCAACCCTACAATACATTTAAAAATGGTTAAAAATAATTAATTGGATTGTTCATACATAAAAGTTTAAACTTGAGCAATTTTGAGTAGCTCGCATAGATTACTGCCTAGTAGCTCGTTTTGTGGCGAACCGCGCGCTGTCTTTCGTACATCATGTGCGTTAGCCACGTTAGCGTGCGCTAGCTCGGTATGCAGAGTAATGAATAACAAAGAGAGCATTGCTTACTTATTAATTAAATCTTTCTTATTTATAATATTAGTTCCTACAGATTATAAATTCTGTACTTTATTCGTTACAAGAATACAAAAATAATAACCGTTCCTCTTTATAATGTTAATATAGATTATAAGTTCTGTAAAGTTCTTGCCGTGTGGTGTGCGGCGGAGTAGAATAGCACCACCCCATATCTACCTGTGGGTGTCGTAGAAGGCGACTAAGGGTGTGAGGAAAAGGACTGACCCCCTGTACCTTTTTCACTGATATACCTACTGTTCCACCTGTCCGAGTCCCTCTCCGATCGTAACGATCTCTGTTTTACTGGGTCCAGGGGAACAAAGATGAGTACGTGCACCTGTGTTCGCGCATACACTTATGCACGTTAATATATCCTGCGCAATTGACCTGCTTCCAATTAGGACTCAGATTTTAGCCAATGTCCTACGGCGATGGGAGGAGGTAGAGAGGCTTAACGTGATGCTCGTTGGGTGTTGTCTGACGTAGGCGGTCTTGGGTGTGTAGTATACATCGTGGTCGTTTCTGCCCCGCATCGGGGTGACTGAGCGGATTCGGCAGCACTCAAGGTGACAAAGCAGCCTTATTCAGGGAGGCACTGCTTTCCTCGCTCAGCTGGGGAGGGGGCTAGAAAAGGTGCCCTAAACAAATGCTCACTCCAACCCTTTAGGATGGTAGCAACCGCGGCTGCCTCCGCATCACAAATCTACGGTCGACGCCACAGAAAAAAATAATGAAAATTTTAATTTATCGAAATAAATGACATTTGGCGCGTGGAATGTGCGCACACTTCTTGACCGAGAAGGAAATGCCTGCCCTGAGCGGAAAACTGCCATTGTAGTTCGGGAACTAAGTCGCTATAATATTGACGTGGCTGCACTCAGCGAAACACACCTCCCCGATGAAGGAGAGCTGGTAGAACACGGTGGCGAGTATACTTTCTTTTGGAAAGGACTCGCTTCCTCATAGCCGCGAAGGTCTGGTGTAGGCTTTGCTGTCGAGAACTACCTTGCTGCTCAACTACAAGAATACCCTGTACACGTCTCGTACCGCATTACCACATTGAGCCTTTACATGAGACGTGAAAACTATCTGAATGTCATCAGTGTCTATGCCCCTACGCTAGACAAGTCTGATGAAATTAAGGACAAATTCTACTAAGAATTAACGCGGTGCATAGATCGTATCCGTCCAAGGGAGCAAAACCTTCTCTTGGGCGACTTTAATGCCCGAGTAGGACGAGATTATGACGCCTGGTCTAAAGTTCTGGGCAGACATGGTGTTGGTAAAATTAACAGCAGCGGCCAACTGTTGCTTAGTTTTTGTGCACAATTAGATCTTGCAATTACAAATACTATGTTCAGATTACCTGCCAAGTACAAGGCAACGTGGGTGCACCCCAGATCGAAGCATTGGCACCTTATCGATTACGCTACCGTGCGTCAAAAAGACATCTCTGAAGTCCTAGTTACCCGTGTCATGCGTGGTGCTCACTGTTGGACTGATCACAGGCTTGTTATTATTAAATTAAATCTTCGTCTTCCACGTCCTTCTAGTTCTGAAAGATCTAAACAGATACCTTTGAACCTTGAACGACTCCAAGATACTAACACCAGGGCTAAATATGCCAAAACCATGAGCACTACTCTGCAGCCCCTCGACCTAAAATCAGGTGAGATCAATACTGTCTGGGAGTCTCTATCTTCTCGTGTTCTCGACACTGCTAAATCACTTAGGTTTGAGAGTCCGAAAACATGAGAACTGGTTTGATGATTATGATGGGGTACTTACGGACGCTATTGATAAACACCGTAGGCTCCTAAAGCAGCACAGTAGAACTCATCAGAGTGGAAGTGTTAAGGAGTTGCGTCATAGTGATCAGGAGCTGAGTAAACTCGCACGACAAGCGAAAGATAAGTGGTGACAGGAGAAGGCTCGTCAGATGCAGTGGCTTGCTGATACCAACAAGCTCGGGGAGTTTTATGCTGAGATGCGACATCTACTCGGTACGTCCGCTATGACGAAAGTTCCACTGAATTAAATTAGTGGTGAAGTGCTTTTTAAAAGCAGGGAGGAAATACTCGAGTGATGGGCGGAGCATTTCAACACCCTACTTAACGTACCCCACGTTAATCAATATTATATATAATAATAATCAAATCATTATCTTTTTGTTGACCTAGACCATGTTCGCTGCCCACCTCAGTAACCTTTCGCCCTCGAGTTCGATGACCCAGTCTCGCCTGACGAGGTTGCTCTTGCCATTAACAACAGCAAAATAAACGCGCGGTTAGTGTTGATTCTATACCAGGTGAATTACTGAAGTATGGCGGTGGGGATTTGTATTCGGCGATATGGGAACTCTTTGTCGTTATGTGGGAAAAAGAACAAGTCCCTAATACTTTTAAGGTATTCCTCATACGGGCCCTATATAAAGGCAAGGGTGACCGGACGAACTGCAATTCTTATCATAGCATTTCTTTACTTTCTGTGCCTGGAAAAGTCTTCGTCAGACTTCTATTAAACCGCCTCAGGAAACTTTCTGAAAGGATTTTGCCGGAATCCCAGTTCGGCTTTCGACCAGACCGTGACACCAGTGAGGCGATTTTCTCATTGCGTCAACTGCAGGAAAATAGCAGAGAACAGGGTCGTAATATGTATCTCTGTTTTGTAAACCTTGAGAAAGCATTCGATAGTGTACTGCGAGAAGTCCTCTGGACAGTGCTGCGGAAAATTGGATGCACGGAGAGGTTTGTGAGACTTCTGAGACTCCTGCATGATGACATGCTGAGCTGCGTCGCAGTAAACGCTGCTCAGTCAGAATTTTTTCCCGTTACCTGTGGGGTAAAACAAGGGTGTGTTCTCGCACCCACACTTTTCGCGTTATACTTTGCAGTTGTAGTTTCCGCAATGATGGCAATCTTTTCAGCTTAGACAGACTTAAGGCCCGTACGAAAGTGTCTTACGCACTTATTACAGAGGTTTTGTGACCGATTCCCCAGATGGCCTGCAACGTGACCACCTTTCACGTGTCGTGACGTAGTTTTGGTCTTTGCCCACGTGAGGCAGGTATGAGTAAGCATTTCCCCATGTAAAAGAAAACAGTACAATATTCATAACATCACGCTATTTTCCATAAAGCTCCACTCAGCTTTGGATTATATTCCCAAGTCACAATGATAAAACTTAGCGTAGTATATATGGAAATTAAGTAATGCTCCTGAAGCACTGCTAGACACCCGTGCATGAGAGGCGCGGTTCTGTGTGCCAGGATACTATAAATTCCATAGTATTTGATATTGAGGGCTTAATAGCGTGGTTCATCACCTACAGTGTTAGTCGTAAAGAAGAAGAGCTCGTGGTTGAGTAATAGCTACGCGGATCAATAGATCTGCGAGAAAAAAGTGCACTTACCGTGGTCAGTCCATGGACGGGTGACTGTCTTCTTAACATACATATAACATAAATTAAAAAAAAATAAAGATCTGCATCGTCAGACACTTGGTGAACTTTAATATCTCCTGCGTATTTGGCTAGTCTCAGATAATATCATTATGTTTTAAAATTAATGCAGCTAATATGATAATCAATTTATTATTACATACTTTTTATTTTTCAGGGACAATTTTATTTAACTAATCCCTACAAGTTTCTTTACTTAAATTACTAAGTTAACATTCATATTCAGGCCAGTTTCTACGATGATTTTATATACAGAGCCGAGGGGAAAATCGGAATAGAAAAATAATATACGAATTCCGATTATTCACCCCGTCTAGGGTGGATAAACTACACACGCAATCCTTATTTCTTAGGGTGGATAAACGGAATAATCCTTATGGTAACGCGAGTTTAATGCATGGTAAAATAAATATGTAGCAAATTAGTTCCCTGCTTTTTCCCATCTCAAAAGTGCCCAACGTGCCCAAAGAAGTTAAGTAAGTTAAGTCTTAATTAAAAACTTAAAAATATAATAATTTCTCACATTTACGCTTTCTTACGAACAGCAAAATTAACCTTAAGTTAAAATTTAAAAAATGTCTTCGAAAAGTATTTCATTTAAAATAAAAAGTATTTAGATAATAAGCATTCAGGTCTAGTATTTCAAATACCATTTATAAAAGTATCTTGTACCTGATATCTCAAATACTTAAAAGTATTAGTACGTATACATATGTATGCAAAAAAAGTACAACGCGAAAATGTACGTATACATATGTATACGTACTATATGTATACATATGTATGTATACGTACTATATGTATGTACTTGACAATGGCAAAAGTATAATCGCACGAGTGGTAACCAACACAAACTAATATGAGTACGTAACCACAAACACAAACTAATAAGAGTACTATACGTAACCAAAGAAAAAAGTTTTATGTTCTGTGATTGACAAAAGTAATGTCACTTATCAAATCTGTCAAAAAATGTCAAGTTAAGCTGTCATCTGTCAAGTCCGCATGTCCCATGTTTGATATTTTTATTTTAAAAATAAAAATATACCAATTACTCATACTAAACGAAGATTTAAGAAAAAAAGGAACTCTTTATAAGAAATATTTTGAAATGGGCGAGAAAGCTGCAGCCGAAACTAAAAAGGTTATGACCGATGCGGAGCGATTGGAGCTTTGTCAGAAGTTAGATCAGGAACTTGACGATTTTATAAATAGTTTAGAAAGTAAAAGGTACACAGAGGGATGGCCGGAAGATCGATGGGAGGTAAATTCAATTTTTCCTTTGTAAAGTTTATGTGTATCTAGTACAATATATATACTTCGGAGAAATGTAATTTAGTATGCTGTTTCTCTGTTGTGGTCAGGAATAATGTGATTATTCGAGCCATGTAATCTTCCCGAAGAAGTTCAACAGCCCTTTGATCTTGCAAGTAATTTCGGGGAGTAATGTTTAGCCCTGAATGCAACAACCTCCGGACATGTCAGCAGCATGTGAGCCGCCGTTTCTTCCTGCCCCATACATGCCCTGCACAGCGGGCTATCTGTAACATCTATGGTAAATAAATGTTTGTTAAAGGAGCCATGTCCTGATCTGTGGCTTGTTCAGTCTCGTTAGAACCTTGATTAGACAACTGTTTATTTCAGGCAGGGCCTCCTTAGCTTGTCTACAGTCTACTAGATTTTTCCAAAGCTGAGCATGTACATTATTGAAGTTTCTATGTACCGGTGTAGGAACTTAACTAAAAGGGATTGGTATTATTGGTTCCGGCACTATAGTGGTTTTAATCCCTCTGGCTGGTCGGTTTCATTTGATTGTATCTTATACTTCTTATTGAATAGAATTTGTTTTTTAATTTTATCGTACTTGGCTTGTGAGATAGGAATTTTTGTGTAAATTCTATCAATTAAACCTGTATGAGGGACTCTACTATTACTTAAAATATTTAGGGTCTTGAAGCTAGTGGCAGTTAAAGTCGCTTCTTGTTGTAAGTGTAGATGAATCAGGGTTAGCTCCAGTATAGCCTTTAAGCCTGCTGTTGGTGTAGTTCTTATGCAGCCTGTGGCAGCCATACATGCCAATCTCTGGCAACACTGAAGCTTTTTATAGTGGTGGCTTCATTAGTTTTGGTCCACTATACCAGAGTGCTGTATGTGATCATGGGCTGAATTACAGTTTTGTACATTCATAGTATAATTTTTGAAGCCAAACTCCATGGTTTGCCAATCATGTTGCTGCATTGCCAGAAAGTTATACTAGCTTTGTTGATTTTGTTTTCTATGTGTTAGGTAAGACTTAAGTATTTTACCACAGAGGACAGCTGGAGTTCTGTGCTGAAAAGACTTGGGAGATGATAGTTATTCAGCATTTGTTTTTGTGTGAACATTGCTAGAACCGTTTTGTTTGGATTAACGGTTCGGTCATATTCCCTGCACCATCTCTCTACTATACAAAGAGCTGTTTGGGTCAGCATGCACATCATGCTTGCTGTGTTTCCAGAGACTAGTATTGTCAGGTCATCTACATAACCTATTATGTAGAAATGATTAGCATTTAATTTGCTGATGAGTTCATTAATGATCATATTCCACAGGAGAGGTGAAAGAACCCCACTCTGTGGGAAGCCTTTCTTTATCTGAATTGTTTGAGATTCACCAGCAATCTTTATTGTTCGCTTACTGAGTTGTGTCGTGTCGTTTACTGGCTGAACTTTATGTCTACTTAGTGCACCTTTTGTGCTGGAGAAGTTTGTTCTGTCAAAAGCACCTTCTATGTCTATGAAGGAGCCTACACATATTACTTTGTTTTGAATGGCCTCTTCAATCTTTGTTATTACATGGTTAGGTGGCTGATTCTGTCAATTTACCTAAGCTATAGGCAGTTGTTTTTTGTTGTTCGCTATAGGTTAAAGTTAATTAGCGCCAACCCACTCCATTCCCATTCACACATTCTCTCCATCATCTTTAGGAGAAAAGATGTGAGGCTAATGGGTCTGTAGGATTTAGGGTCTATATAGATGCTCTTACCTGGTTTGTGACCATATACCTTGTAGATTATTTTATGTGCTTTCGGGGAATTAAAATCATGTAATTTAAATGCTAGTAAGTTCGGTATTGGTAGTCGGTAGTAATAAAATCGGTAAGTAGTTTTATTCAATGTTTAGTGTTCATGTAAATATAAGAAATCATTAAGAAATGAATAGACTTAATGGTGTTGTGTAAATATACATTATATTTTATAATTTACAATTCAAACTTCCAGACAGTGATAATTTTACTATTTTTCATTATTCAGCAGA